GTTCAGCATGGTTAAACCAGTCGGTTAAGCAGTTGAGGATCATCGTCTTCTTTGTAATTTAACTTGAATTGGCTATGAACATACCGCGTAGATGGATACGCACTTTTTTTTTTACATGTTCAAGCAAAAGATAAAGAGATTAAATTTCACATTTGTCCCATCTTCTAGAACATACTAACACCACTTTGCTTATCACCTCCTTTTGACTTTCTCATCCTTTCATTTTTTTTTGGGGAAATCAATGAGAAGTGAAGTTTATTTACAAAAGGGACATGTAAAAATACGCCAATGTGAAGTTTATTTTCAAAAAGTTCCTCTTCATGCAGCAACTTGAGCAGCTGCAAGCCTTGCAATAGGAACCCTGCATCATCATCATATCATCATCATCATCATCAGCATCACCACCATCATCAGCATACATATATGTATATATATAATGTGGAAAACAAGCACATTTCATAATAAATGCAACAACCTGAAAGGAGAGCAAGAGACATAATCAAGGCCTGCTTCGTCAAAGAAGCCAACAGACGAAGGCTCCCCGCCATGTTCTCCACATACCCCGACCTGTAATCACCCCAATAAATCAAACACGTTTTCCTTATACCTACGGTCCGGTTCGGTCCGATCTGATTTGGTTACGTTACCTTGAGGCTAGGCCTAGCGGACCGGCCTCTCTCGGTGGCGATCTTGATGAGTTCCCCCACGCCTTTCTGATCAAGAACCTGCGACGATAACCATTACATCGTATATGAGTCTCTCATAATAACCCTTTTTTTTCCCCTCAATTGGTCTCATACTTTTTTTTTTTGGCGAGTGAAAGCAAATGAAAATGGATTCGGTACCTCAAAAGGGTCGTTCTGTAAAATGCCTTTGGAGAGGTAAATCGGCAGAAATTTCCCGACGTCGTCTCTACTGTACCCGAACGTCATCTGCGTCAGATCATTCGTCCCGAACGAGAAGAACTCGGCCTCCTTCGCGATCTGGAGAGAGAACAAATCAAAAACGAGTTTTTTTACGTGATGATTATCGCTAAGATAAACCGAAATCGTCTAACTTCATTGTATCTCAAAAGTATATTCAATGATAATGAGATATGGCTAACATAGTGTCGCGTGTTACCTCATCTGCGATGAGAGCGGCTCGGGGGATCTCGATCATCGTCCCGACCTTGTAGCTAAGGGTTCGGCCCGAGTCGGCAAACACTTTCTTGGCAACTCTACGGATCAACTCAACTTGGTGGCCGAGTTCCTGTCATGTTTGTTTCGAGTTTATGTTCTGTTTTCTTGTCCAAGTAATCGATATCCGATTAATATATACCTGAGGGGTCCCAACAAGAGGAACCATAATCTCGGGGATAACGGTAACGCCTTGGTCGCCCATCGATACAGCCGCCTGGAAAATAGCACGCGCTTGCATCTCGGTTAGCTCTGGATACGATATCCCGAGCCTGCAATGAACACTTTTTTATCAGTAAACTTACTTGTACCGAGAAAATGCGGAAGGAAAAGAGAGAGAGAGAGAGATGACCTGCAACCGCGGAAACCGAGCATTGGATTCACTTCGGACAGTTTCTCGACACGAGAGAAGACCTCTTCCTCGTTCATCCCCGTTTCCGCGCAAAGCTCGTTTACTATGTTTTCCAAGTCGCCTTCGGGGAGGAACTCGTGGAGCGGAGGGTCTAACAGTCGGATAGTCACCGGAAGACCTGAAAAAACAGAGATCAAAGCCATTAGAAGAAAAGCTTCGAGATTTCGACGTTTCGATCTTCTCGAGATTTCGACGTTTCGATACCGTCCATTGCTCGGAAGATCCCTTCGAAATCGGCACGTTGGTAAGGAAGCAAGAGATCGAGAGCCGCATTCCTCTGCTCAGATGTCACCGCCATTATCATCTTTCTCACAGCTTTTATCCTCTCATCCGACGCAAAAAACTTCACGCCGAAGAAAAAAAATGAAACACCGTTATCCGACAACTGTATAAACAGAATTCGTAAAACACGAGATGCAGAAAACAAACAGATGGTGTGAGTTATCTACCATGTGTTCTGTTCTACAGAGTCCGATCCCTTGAGCGCCGTTTTTCCTCGCAGTTAGAGCGTCTTCGGGTGTATCAGCGTTCGCCATTACCTACAACGGTTTAACAGTTGAATTCACTTCAAGAAGGTTACCGAATCAAATCTCAATTTCGGGGAAAAAGATCGAGAAATCTGAGAGAGAGATTATGAACCTTGAGACGCCTGATTTCGTCGGCCCAAGACATGAACATTTCGAGATCTCCGCTTAGCACCGGAGGAGACAACGGCTGTTTCCCGAGTATACCCTCACCTGTCGAGCCGTTCAACGAAATCCACTCTCCTTCTCGTATAACTGTTTCGCCGACGAAAATAACCTGTTCCACAAATCAAACTCTACTGTCAGAAAAGAAATCTTCCGATATCGAAGGCTGACGTCCAAAAATCGAACCTTTTGGTTGTCGTCCACACGAATATCCGAGCAACCGGCAATGCAGCACTTGCCCCAACCCCGAGCCACCACGGCGGCATGAGACGTCATCCCACCCCTAGCCGTCAATATCCCTTCTGCAGCGTGCATTCCCCCGACATCCTCGGGACTCGTCTCGGCTCGAACCTAATCTCAATGACCATTAATACATCTGTTGGCGTGTCTGTTTCAGACAGAGATTCGAGAATAAGAGATTACAGACAGAGTGTTACTTTACCAGAATCACGGTCTTGCCCTGAGCATGCCAGGCTTCGGCTTCTTCTGCACTGAACACGACCTGTCCGACCGCCGCTCCTGGTGACGCTGGCAACCCTTTCGCCACCACTTTTTCACGGTACGCCGATGGATTATCGAACTAACGCAATCAAAGATGGAAACTTTTTTTAAATCTTTGATCGAATTACTTAGAACCCAGCTTATATAAATCATCAGATGTGCAGAGATGAAACCTGTGGGTGGAGAAGTTGGTCCAGATGCTGTGGCTCGACCATCTTGATGGCAGAACGTTTTTCCACGAGCCCTTCGTCCACCATATCCACCGCTATCTTCACCGCACCCCGTCCCGTCCGCTTCCCCGTTCGACACTGCAGCATCCACAGTCTCTTCTCTTGGACCGTGAATTCGATATCCTGTATATTCGGGTCGTAAAATTCGAATAAACCGAGTCTGTTGCTCTGTTTTCTTGACGAACACGGCATTGGTAACAATTGTTACATCTTCTTACCATCATATCCTTGTAGTGCCTCTCCAATATGTCACAGTTCTCCACAAGTTCGGCATAAGCCTCTGGCATTAGCTTTTTCATCGTGTCCAGATCTTCTGGTGTCCTTATCCCGGCAACGACATCCTCTCCCTGTCCGAAAATGACAAGAGCAAAAACCATCTGTTAACCATTAAAACCCACCATTCAAGCTCGTATATACAGAAACTCGAAGCTCGAAACCTGAGCATTGACTAGGAATTCTCCGTAAAGCTTCTTCTCTCCCGTGCTAGGGTTCCTGGTGAAGAGAACGCCGGTTCCTGAAGTGTTCCCCATGTTTCCAAACACCATACACTGAATGTTGACGGCCGTTCCTTTCAGACCGGTTATCTGGTTTATGCTTCTGTACTTGATGGCTCTTGGGCTGTCCCAAGACTCGAATACCGCCTTGATGGCCAATTCCAACTGCTTCTTCGGATCTGCAGATATGAATTCGCCATTAAAATCTTCTGATCTGACATGGGTTTTACTAAAGGCCGAATCTTTTATCATGACAGAACACACAAACAAACCGAACCTGAAGGAAATTCTTGACCCTTGACCTGCAAGTAAACGCTCTTGTACTGCTCAACCAGTTGCTTGAGATCATTTGCGCTTAGCTCGGTATCGAGCTTGACTCCTCTAGATTCCTTCATCATCTCCAGCTTCTCGTCGAATTTCGCGTGAGGAATTCCCATCACCTAATGAAAAACCCCGACAAGGATCAAAATCGTGTCTCTTCATTCAAAGGTTTTCAAGTTTCAGTGGCAAAAACGCTTACAACGTCACCAAACATGTCAAGAAAACGTCGGTACGAGTCATAAGCGAAACGATCTCCACTTTTGGCGGCTAAACCAGAGACGACTTCATCGTTCAAGCCAAGGTTAAGCACTGTATCCATCATGCCAGGCATTGAGATCTGCATCAGGACAAGCTTTTTACAGTTATATATACCCCAATGTCTGAAAATATATATATATATCGATCTTTGAACCAGACAAAGAATGGTTCAGATGGGACATTACGGCGGCGCCGGACCGGACAGAGAGGAGAAGGGGCTTGGAAGGGTCACCGAGAAAAGCAGACATTTCACGTTCGACGAATTTCAGACCCTCGAGAACTTCATCCCATAGACCAAGTGGGAGTTTCTTGCCGGAAAGCTGGAACTGCTCGCACGCCTCCGTCGATATCGTCAGCCCCGGCGGTACGGACAACCCTATGCTCGCCATCTCCGCCAGGTTCGCCCCTTTCCCTCCCAACTACATACGTACGTACGTCCTAAGCGTATAAGATACGCGTATATATACATGTATATATATGTGTGTGTATAGAAAGATACGTACCAAGGACTTCATGCCCTTGTTGCCTTCGCTTCTTCCTTTGCCAAAGCTGAACACTCGCTGCATTTTTTTTTTTTTTTTTTTTTTTGGACAGACGAGGTGAAAAAAAATTAGGACACGATGTGAACGAAGAAAGGGAATGAAGAGAAAGCTACGGTCTCCAAGGTTTATATAGATACACACTACGTGTGTGCGTGCATGTACCTATAAGTGTAAGTCTCTCTCTCTCTATAATTTGGCATATATTAATTTTCGGAATTTATTTCACAAATAAAAATGCTAAAAGCAATTTCCTTTTATTGAATTTCCTCTATAACCTTATCTTACAGATATAAAACTTTAAAAAAAAAAATCAAGGTATTGACAATCACATCAACATATCTATTCATGTAAATATCTGTATTGAGTTGGGATTTAAGGAAAATAAATATAATGTCAACTAGCATTATCGTTCATGGTACGTCATCATCACAAATGCGTTCTTATCTTTTCCAAATTCCCACCTCGGAATGCTCAATTTTGAAGGAAAAAAAATATAATTTCACAAAAAAAAATAAAACAATTTAATTCGATTTCTCCGCCATCGGACGGATACCGACAAAAGAAATTTTCTGCTACTATAATCGTATTCAATTTTTCTTCTAATTACAATCATAATCATAACATTCATAAACTTGTTTAATGATGCATAAAATGAATTCCCTATTTACTAATATAGTAATTTAATCTTAAAATATTTTTTAAAATTAATGTAATTTAGACAATATCTGATCTATTTTTGACTAAAAAATAATTCTTCGTCAGCGTAAGGAAAAAATGTCCTTCGATCATCTCCTGCCACGTGGAGACCACTTGGCCGCTTAGGAAGACGTGACGTAACAGACCGACGTCTCTACCAAGTGGCACATAATGTAGTTATCTTGTACACACGTGTAAGCTCTGTGCATGATTTCACGCACTTAGCCACAAAATCGAACCGGATTATTAAACCGGAATAACGATTCCAACCCGGTGATTGAACCGGAATGTACATCTTTATAACGTTATTCTGTCACGAATTTGAATGGATTCGTGTAAAGACTAGGTATTCCCAAAACCAATTGCACGATTGTTCGAACCGGTTAACGTTTGTACCGGACAGTGAAAAATGAAACCAAGTACCCATCTCTGGTCTGTCATTCTTATATGGGCCATGGGCTCGAATAATTATTAATTCAGTCGGCCCAATATATATGCTAAATTTGCATTTAGCCCATAAAACCAACAATAAGTTTCTTTTTAAATAAAATTACAAGACCTTCAGATTCATATATGGTGAAATTGTTACGGGGATTTACGATCGTTATATTTGCCAATTTATAAAAAATATTATGCAGGTTGATTATTTGTAAAGAATATATTCAATAACAGTAAATAAATAAATAATTAGGAAACGAAATAAAATTAAAAATATTTACCTTCTTGTCTACGGCAGTGGGATCAGAGACAGGGCTAAGGATTGCTCGAGCCTTTCTCCCGCAACGCAATCCTTCGTCATCCCCTTTCTTGATCACTTTCGGACTCAGTAAACCGGTTTCGGTAATGCTTAGACCTCCGCAACGAATCATACCGACTTTTCCAAACCGGTTCGATCGGTTAACCGACCGGTTTTCTCCGAGATGGTGATATCCCTGTCGGTATCCGCGCTCTCCCTTGAAGAGCTCCGCCGTTGGCTTCAGGATCATACTCTTCATTTTTTTTCTATTTTTTTAATCTGAAATAAATTAAAAAAATAGATATATATATGGAAATCGATAGATATATTGAATATATATATTATAACAGTTGCAATAAATAATAATAGAATATTTGCTTACGTGAAGATGGTGTTTGATCGATGGTGGAAGAGATGGAGCTACTGGCGATAGCAGAAATGGCGGTTTTATATAAATATATATATCTCTTCTTCTCGAATGATTTTTGTTGGTTTCCGTAAGGTTTTTATTATTTATATTACTATTTTATTTCAATTTTTTTTTGTTGGCTCTTATTAGTTACGTAAGATATATTATATGATTTAAATTTTATTTTTTCTAGAGGAGTTTGGGATGAAGAAAAGTGACGTGAGTGGAGGGAGTTTGAGATGTGGTTCCGATTAGTCAATGGGTCCATTTTTTGCCCGTTGTTCCTCCTTTTTTTTTTTCAACGACCGGTAAGTGGTCACGGTTTTATATTTAAATTTAAAAATTAAGGATAAAACCATAAAAAATCCTAAATTTGTAAAATTGTAAAAAATTAATTTTCAAAATTTTCGTTTAATAAATTTCTTTCAAACTTGTAAAATGTATTATTATAATTTTTAAATTTGTTAATTAATATTAAAAAATAGTTTGGGAATTATAATAATATATTTTTTAAGATTGTCGCAATTATATTAATATATTTTATTGAGAAAAAAGTTTAAAAAATAATTTTCCACCACTTTACAAGTTAAAGAATTTTTATGGGTTTTACACTAAAATTAATAATAATTTTATTTGCCAATTGGAGGTGTAAATTTCTTTGGGTTTAATATGTAAACTTAAAATTAATATTTTTACACATTTAAAAAAATATCTTTTTTCGGAGAACAAATTTTAAAGATAATAGATCTTTTTTGCTCTTGTAAATTTCAATTAAATTTAGAAAATTGGAGGGAAAAAAGAGCACTCCAAAGAATCTGGAAGTGTCGCACATTCATTCGTCCATGGTTACAGAAATGTGTGCCACGAAGAATGGTCCCGAGCTTACAAAACATCAGCATTTGTTGTCGACCATTGGAACTTTCTGGAATATTTTTTTCTTCTAATGAAAATCATAAATATCAGGAAACAAAATGGGTGTATTACGTTTATTTATCAATTTTTTAATTATATTTAAATTGTGAACTTTATTACTCGGAAGATATTCGATAAGGTCGTGTGACGGACCCTCTTTCTCAGGAAGAGGGTATATTATTTTTTTTTAAAAAAATTATATTAAAATTGTGAACTATATTACTCGGAAGACACGTGTGACGGACCCTCTTTCTCAGGAAGAGGGTATAGTATTTGCCAATGCCTAGAAATAATCGGTTAAACATCTTCTAGGTATTCCATGTAAACTCAAATTCATTCACTTTAATACTCGCGAGAGAATTCAATTCGTTAATTACATTATATATATATATATATATATATATATATTGGATTATTATGTAATGAAATTGAGGTGAATAACGAAACAAATATGTTATCATGTGTATATGAAAACTAACAAATGTTTTGGATTTGGTACGAGAGATGTTGCTACTTTGGAAATGGGCATCATCGATGTATAAAACCCCTATCTCTCAAACTATTTCACTACAAAAAAAAAACAGTATAGCGACGGAAAAATCCATCGCAAATATAAAGGAAATCCGTCACAATTAAGAATTTGCGACGGAATGCGACGGATTTATTTCTGTCGGTATAGCGCTGTCGCAAACGTATAACGGTCGTAAAATGCGACGGAAAAAATCTGCATTTTGCGACGAAAAGTGACGGATAATTCCGTCGCAAGTCTGGTTTTATACATCGATGATGCCCATTTCCTTTGGGAAATCCTAGAAACTCGCTTTAAGCAGAGTAATGTTTCCAAAATCTTTAATGTTGAGCAAAAGATTGATGTTTTGCACCAGGGTTCTATGGATCTGAATGCTTTTTTTTACCAAACTTCAATCTCTTTGGGAAGAACTCAAAAATTATGAGTCTTATCCCCTCTGCTCTTGCGGTGGTTGTTCCTGTCAGGCTAATGTCAAGCTTATTGAGATTATTGAGCGTCGCAATGTTGTGAAGTTCTTGATGAAATTCAATGATTCGTATGCTCAGACTCGCCGACACATCTTGATGATGGATCCTTTGCCGAGCCTGACTAAAGTATACAATCTGATCTCTCAAGAGGAACATCACTGCCATGCTCTGCCTCTCCCTGCAGAATCAGTTGTTTTTCAAACCTCAACCACCATTTCCCCAAAACCAAGACCATCTTCTTCTTCTTCGTACCCAAACAAACAACGACCTCAATGCTCTCATTGTTGCCTTATGGGTCACACTATACATCACTGTTTTAAGCTCCATGGCTATCCCACCGCTTCTAGATCTCTTCCCCCTCAAACAAGCCACCTCTCTTACCCAAACCCAAATATCCTTATTTCCCAAAACCCTCAAACACTGTGAACCTAGTAACTAAAACAACCAACCCTGTTTCAACTGATTCTGCTGAGACTCTTACAGCCTCTACTACTCTGGCTCAAGCTCAGGCTTTGTTCGAACAGTTTCAATCGAAACTCAAGCATCTTGGCATCTCCTCCTCAGATTCAGGTATCTCGGAAACTTTGGCCTCTACCTCTTCTACCCCTTCTCCAGGTACTGTTTCTTTTTCTTGTTTCACTCTCTCTGCCCATGCCTTTAAAACCCCTGTCTCTCAAACTATTTCACTACAAAAAAATAGTTATATAGCGACGGAAAAATTCATCGCAAATATAAAGGAAATCCGTCGCAATTAAGAATTTGCGACGGAATGCGACAAATTTATTTCTGTCGGTATAGCGCTGTCGGAAAAAATCTGCGTTTTGCGACGGAAAGTGACGGATAATTTTGCGACGGAATTTGTTCCGTCGCATTTCGTCGCAAATGTTTTAAAAAATATAAAAAAATTATACACTATATATACACATACATATATACATTTTCACATATATACATATATATTCATACACATACATTACACACATACAAATATACATACACATACATACATATATATACACATATTTTCATATACACAAACACAGATACACATTCACACATATACACATATACACATATATACACATACATAAATACTCATACACATATACATTTCACAAACACATACACATATACATTTTACATACAAATATACATACATATACATACATATATATACATATATTTTCATATACACAAACACACATACACATTCACACATATACACATATATACATGTATATATACACATACATAAATACTCAGACACATATACATTTCACAAACACATACACATATACATTTCAAAAACACATACACATACATATAAACACACACATATACACATATTCATATACACATACAATCACATATACATACACATATATATTCACATTCACATATATATACACATACACATACATAAACACACACACATACACATTCACACATACATACACATTCACTTACACACATATATAAACACACACATGCACATTCACACATATATATACACATTCACTTACACACACATACACATATATAAACACATACAAACACATCAAACACACACATATATATATATATACATAAATACATATATATTATCTTATGGGAGAAATTTGGCGATCTTTGGAGAGATTTAGAAAAAATTTGGCGATTTTTTTTTTTTTCCGAAAATCTTTGAAATCTGATGAAGAAGACGACTCGTGGTTTTATATTGCGTTTTGCGACAGAATTTTCCGTCGCATTCCGTCACAAAATAGAATTAATTTACGCGTCCAAAATTCAAAAAATTTCATCGAAAAACGAAACCAAATACATTGCGACGGAATATTCCGTCGCAATCCGTCGCAATTTTTATTTTTCGTCGCAAATAATCTATTTCTTTGTTGTGACAGAATTATCCGTCGTAAACCGTAGCAAATTGCGACGGATTTTGCGACTGTTTGCGACGGATAATTTTTTTTCCACATTCTGTCGTAAAATCGTCACATTCCGTCGCAATTTTCTGTGCGACGGAAATTTCCGTCGCTATATGCAGGTTTTTTTGTAGTGTTTGGATTCTTGATACCGGAGCTAGTAGCCATATTTGCTGTGATTCTCGAATGTTTCAGGATATTGCTCAGATCTCTCCTATCACTATTACTCTTCCTAATGGTGATTATATTCTTGTTAATCAATTTGGTTCAGTTGCATTGTCGGAGTTATTAATCCTGGAGTCTGTTTTATATGTTCCATCTTTTCGTTTTAACCTGTTAAGTGTTAGCGCCTTCACACGCAACACTCCTCTCATTGTTTCATTTTCTCGTGACTCTTTCCTAATCCAGGACCCTACGCGGGACTTGACGATTGGGAAGGGTAACACATCGAACAACCTTTATATTCTACAGCTGCAGCAATCTTTCTCGTATGCTCTGTCCCTACCAAGTTCTCTTTGCACGGCTTTATCTATTTCAAATGATGCTCTCTGGCATCAACGTATGGTCATCCCTCTTCATATCGAATCAAAACAGCAGACAATTCCTCTCAACCAGATTTTACCACCACAGCTTCTTCTACTGACTGTTCCATTTGTCCCTTAGCGAAACAGTCTCGGCTTTCTTTTCCTGTTGGTGGACATAGATCTGTTGCCAATTTTGATTTGATTCATATGGATGTATGGGGCCCTTTTAATGTACAGACTTTTGATGGATTTAAGTATTTTCTTACTCTTGTTGATGATCACTCTCGTCTTACTTGGATTTACTTTCTTCATTCGAAATCTGATGTTCAAACAAGATTTCTAGAATTTCTGTCTTACATCGAAACTCAATTTCAGACTCCTATTAAAGGAATCCGTTCCGACAATGCTCCTGAACTCTCTTTCACTAAGCTCTTACATTCCAAAGGTATTCAACACCATTTCTCTTGCCCGTACACTCCGCAACAAAATGCGGTTGTCGAACACAAACATCACCACATCCTTAATGTGGCCCGAACTCTCTTATTCCAATCCAATGTCCCTTTACCTTATTGGAGAGAATGTGTCAAAACGGCTATTTATTTAATCAACCGAACCCCTTCTCGTCTCCTTAATCATAAGACCCCTTATGAACTTCTCACTGGTAAACAACCCTCTTACAGTCATATTCGTACTTTCGGATGCCTTTGTTATG